AGAGAGAGAGGGGGGATGGGAGGGGGAGAGAAGGGGCATTGAGGGAGAGAGGTGGTGGCGAGGGAAAAAGTGAAAAGAGAGAGAGAGAGATAAGAGAGAGAGAGAGAGAGAGAGAGAGAGAGAGAGAGTGAGTGTGTGTGTGTGTGTGTGTGTGTGTGTGTGTGTGTGTGTGTGTTTGTGTTAGTGTGTGTGCGTGAAATAGAGAATAGCGAGAGAGGGAGAATAGATCCATTTTGCCATCCAGAAATTAAGAGATAGTGACGGCAGCAATCAGAGACCTATACTGTCACTCAAGAATTTTATACATTTGATAGCAATATTATGTATTTCGCAGACTTGGGTCTTACACAATGATATTAGGTTACGACCCAAAAAAAATTATCAAAAAACAATAATAACAATGATAACTACAAAACGGCATTACCAAAAACCTAACAACAGAACAACAATTATAATCTGTCGAATTGCGCCAGTAGTAACATAAACAGCAGTAACAATAACTACAACAATAACAACAATACAAAAACACGACATACTCTATCTCTCAGAGTTCGGGTTAAGTATAGAGTAAGGGCCATTCTACCTTGACCCCAGCCTCTTCTCCTACCCCTAACCATAACCATTTACACTACTTTAACTAACCTCCTCTCTTATTACTATTTCTTCCCCTAACGGCTACCCTTACCCTTAGAGAATCTCGGAGAAATAACAAATCTTAAAACATTAAGCGATTGCTCAAGACTCATTTGTTTAATATTTGGTTGTAGTGTGTTAGTATTGAGGGCAAGCGAGGCAGGGGTAGGCCCAGAACAACGTACTTAGGGAACCTAAACAAATGGGTAACGTGGAAAGATCAGGGACGTTCCCTGATCTTTCCACGTTACCCATTTGTTTAGGTTCCCTAAGTACGTTGTTCTGGGCCTACCCCTGCCTCGCTTGCCTTTTATTAGAGTATCCGACCAAAGGAATGAATGGAGAACCATGATCGCCGATGTCTGGCGCAGATCTAACACTGGATGATGATGACGATGATGAGTGGGTTAGTAAGTGTTGGTAAGTTGTTTTTACTGCTGTCTTTACGTGTGTATAATTACTGTATACCTATGATGGTTCTTTTTTGCGTGTTTCAGCTGGATTTTCTTGCTACTGTGAAATATTTTACTCTGTGTGAATGTATTATAACTTTTCAGGGATCACGTGATTGTTGTAAAGCGCTCAGAGCTTAAACTCGCACGGGATAGAGCGCTATATACATGCAACATATCATTATGTCCCTTACCCCTACTTAATGACCTACCTGTCCATACCTTAACCCTTTCCCTAACCCTACCACTACCTTTACCACTACCTTTACCCTTCCCATACCTACTCTCAACCCATACCAATACCCCTACTATAACCTCTTCCCCTACCCCCAACACTACCATAACATGTCCTTACCCCAACTTCTGTCTCTACCTAGCTATACCTACCCTTAACCCTCACCAATACCCCAACTTCACCCATACTCCAAACTCTATCCCCATCCCTTACCCCAACCCTAAACATAACCCTATCCCTAACCCTACCCCCCTCTATCACAACTAATCCTTACCCTATCCCTTGCATTATCCATTACTCTAATCTGTATCGTATTACCCTGATCCGGCAGATGGGAATAAATACGAGAGCTTAAAGGCTAAATTGTAGCCCTGTCTTAACCTTACACCGAATGCCAAAATGACGAAATCGCCATTTGAATAGAAATCTATATACGAACTAAATTGAACGAAGAAGAAGGAGAAGGAGGAGGAGAAGGAGAAGGAGAAAGAGAAGGAGAAGGAGAAGAAGAAGAAGAGGAAGAAGAAGAAGAAGAAGAAGAAGAAGAAGAAGAAGAAGAAGAAGAAGAAGA